TTCCCCGCTATTTTCAATACAGTGGGATCAGCATGGCTGCCTCAGTTTACTTCGGTCTTTCCTGCTCTGGAAAAGGAGTGGGGTTTTCACTTCCTCCTGTGGAGCAGCAGGGGGAGCTCAGGCCTAACTTTGGGATGAGCCATTGCATGGAATTCCAACAAGAGCTCTTCCTCTGGAGGTGGCGTATTGGCACCGAAAGAGGCGAGAGGCCTGCTCTGGCTGAGTTCTCTGCCTCGTGGGTGCACCCGTGGGTTCTACTTTCCTTTAAGTTTCTCTTATTTTTAAAGCCTCTCTGTAAATGCAGCTTCCGCTGCTGCCCTTTGCTCTTCTCCAAATGTGAATCCATTTTCCCAAGTCTGTGTCGTTTTCCTCCTGGCCAGGGATCTCATCACTTCATCCTAGACTCATCCATCTTGGCTTAGTAACCAAAAAACCCCAAACAAAACAGTGGGAAACATTTCAAAGTCAAATTCGTGGCCAAATTGTGTGACCCGTGTTGGAATCAGGGAAGGGAATTAGATCATCTCCCGTTATTTATTTCCTTACGACTCCACCCTAAGACTGGGAGGGTTAACGACTAGTCAGGGAAAGAGGCAGTGAAGGCGAGGCAGCTGCGCCCGCCCCAGTCCATTGTCTCTCTTGCTGGGGCTCTCCTGGCTTGTGTGGGTGAGTGCTATGAGAATGACCAGGTGCGCTAAGTTGATGGTTTGAAGCTGAATGGGGTGGTTGGTGGGGAGGACAGTTTGAGGCCGGCAGGGCGTCTACAGCAATGGGGAGCATGCAGCAAAGAGAACCTCCTATTTGGGCTGGCGAGTTCAGTATCAAAAGATCAAGAAGTTCTAATGCAGGTTGAAGTTGCCTGATGGAGACTGGAGTCCTCGACCCATAGCCCAAGTTCTTTGCTGTAGTGGCTGCCTGTGGTATTTTCTCCACACCATACTGCCAGGCTGCTTCAACCCAACCAGAAGCTCCGACCTTCTGAAGGAGAATTCAGTCTCAATGGCTTCTCACATAGGGGTGGTAGGTGGGTGGGCACTATACTACTAGGAACTAGCCTTTAGACCACTCAGCCATTCCATATAGAGCACTCAGCTATTAGGGAGTTGCAGCTCTCAGCCAGAATTGAGTTGGGGCAGCTTCATAAAGCTGAGAAGTTCCATGACATACTGTCAAGTCTGTGTAATCCTGTCCCCACCTGAATATCCAGCGTCACGTTATTAACAGTTGAGGAGAGCTGAAGTGAAATACACAGTTGAAGCTTTTGTTAGGAAAGTGAACTGAAGCCAGCCCCTTAGTAGAATTGAAGACATTTAACAAACTGGCCACTAATAACTTAAAGCACCAACCTACAGCTTTATCTTTTCATTGTCTCAGTTCTAATCCAGTCTTTTTAAGCTGCCCTGTCTTTTATTGTCCATTGTTGGCAAGCACTGCTTTTGTGGTCAGCAGTCTAATGCTATCCGCTTATTATAAGAAGTGACATTTAATACCATTCCTGTACATCTTGAATATAGGCTCAGTCCAAACTACTTGACTCAAATGTATAGTGTGGATTCCCTTGAGCCAGGCAAGGCATGAATTAGATGTGATGACCCTGAGCACAGTATTGGGCAGAGAGCACTGCTGACTGCCTTCTAGATTTTCAGTGAAGCTTACATTCAACAGCAGAGTTTTTACTTTTTCCTTTCTATTTGGAGGGTGGTGGGAAAGTGGTACAGCGAAGGGCCACTCAGTCCAGTAACAACCTCACTGGTAACAGTCCAAGCAAAAATTAAAGAAGCCACCAGGGAATTTACCCTTCATCGTGCAACATCCGGAGGGCGCCTGCACTTGAATGTGTCTTGGAGGCATATTTTAATTTGTACGCAGGTTCAGAGAGAGCGTTGCTAATAGATTCTTAATTTCTTCCTTCCTGCTTCCCAGATTGTGCTGCCTTTGTATGCAGATGAGTAACAGAGAGCAGAGGAGAAACTGTGAAGGAGGCTCAGTGGTTCAAGAAGACAGATACTTGTAGGGCGCGGAGGAGCCAATCCAACTTCCTATGGGGGGAAGAAATTACTGGCAGTAATTTTGCCACTCATAAAAACCCGTCTACCTTCACTTCTTTCATAATGAAACGTTGGGAAATGGAAGAGCACACGGCCCACTACATCTCGCTACAATGAGAGGACTGTGAAGTTTTAGCTGCAGGTTTCACTTGCTCTGTGCTTTGTTCCTACAAAAGATGTCCTGTACCCATGTAATCAAGCCTTCATTTTCATATGTGCACACATCAGTGATTCCCATCTCTGTCTTAGACCTTCCAGGTTGAACTTGTTGAACTTTTTGCACCATGTATTTTCTTTTGCTCTTGAATTTAATTTCAAAGCTGCTCGAGAGAAGGAGTTGTGCTTTAGGAGAAAGAGGCTCATGCGGAGGGGTATGGAGTTTTAATGTGATGTGGCCAAAAGAGTCGTCGTCAAAGTTGCCTTTAACCCAGACAAGTTCTTCACTAGCCAGAGACCGTGCCAAGTTATTAACAGCTGCCGTTCAGTTCTACTTATGCCCCCAGTTAGAGCTAGAGAGATCACCGTGCCTATGGAATACCTGGTAGGTAGTGCAGAGCTGAGCGAGGATGGGAGGGAGAGAAGACACAGGAGACTGGGTGCATTTGGCCAAGCAGCATTTCACTGGGCATCTTGTCTTGTTTAACCCAGGAACTGCTGGTGACTGGTTGTGCTGAAGGATTTAATACACAATTTCTGCAACTACGCATTCAAATCCTTCAGCAGTGTGCTCTGTTGTGGGTTGGTTCTTCTGTGAAATGTCAAATAATCCCAGTTTTGAGGGTACAAATTCAGACACTATAGTTTAAATTGTGGGCATGCACCAGTCTCCATGGGAAGTGCCCGTGTAAGATATTGCCTTAGGTATGTGACTGTCTCCTTCTGCTTTCTGTAACCAGGCCCTAGAAGAGCTTGCCACTGACTCCAAGCGTAGTGACTTTGCCTTTAGCTCAAGTGGTAGAAGCCTGTTTCCCTGCTGACAGCTACTGGTGCATGTTCGAGATTCACACCCCTCTGTGCTCAGTCTGCAGTGGCCATGAGTCTGCGATAGCCCCACCTACAAAGCCTGGGCTCTCTAGCTCAATCTCTAGCAGCTCCTGGCTGTATGTAGCTCTCCAGATCCTTGGTTCAATCCCTGGATTGTCAGCCAGAATGATGGCCGTCACAGCCGCACGTGGTGGTGTGTTTAAGCTTGAATGCTCATTCTGCTCAGAACAGAAACACTGTCATGTGACTTCTTGGACGACTAGGACTTAGCTACACCATTCAAATTTCAAATATTCATGATCACTCTCCACAGTGCCTTTATGAACGTGAAACAATTGCAATCTGGAAGCAGAAGGAGTCTCACTTCACGTTGTCTGCTGGTAGTTGTCACGTGGTAGTTGTCTGCTGGTAGTTATTCACCTGGTTCTGTTAGGGACGTGCATTCGTTGATCAGAGAGAAGAGTGGTTGAATTTAAAAGCTCCCTTCTTTGTAAATGTAGGGCCCAGCCACACAAGGTGTACCACTAAGCCTCAGTGAAATGCTGTGCACCCACCCCTCTATACGCCATCTGTGCTCTTGTAAAGTGCAATCATTTTAAACATGTGGGCTTTTAACAATACAGCCAAATACTTCCAAGCCTATTATTTTCCGCTCCCCCCTACATCACCTAATCTTGTTTGCAATACTACATTGAACTCTGGGCTTAATGCCTTGTGACATCTTGGTTTCTTTACTTTCACAATTTGCCAGTCTTTGCACCTTAGGTATCTGACTCAGAGTACCCTTAAGTCTTTGTTTTTCTTCAAGAGATGCTGGTGTGAATGGTTTGTAAGATGGGAGTAAATATCCGTTATTTTCAGTAAGCCGGTGTATAGCTTGGAGCTGTGCAGAAACCCTGAGGCTAACACTTTCACCCCTGGGTGTCTACAGTTACATTAGTATTTAGGCATCCAAATCAAAGTGACTTTCAGCAAATTGGCCAGGCCCCTTTGATTTCGCTGCCTATATACAGCCCTGATCCAGCAAACCACGTAAGCACATACATAACTCTAAGCACGAGTAGTCCTATAGACTTCAATGGCGTGACTTGCATTTTTAAAGTTAGGCATGTTCTTAAGTGCTTTGCTGGATCAGGCCACGTAGATGGAATTTTAGGCATCCGGGTTTGAAAACATTGGCCTTGGCATCCTGTGACTTATTTATCTGTGATATTCCTAGAGGGAAGACCTCCACACACCGGCTCTGAATCTGTGAATGGGTTCCTTGTGTAAAATATAAAAGCTATAGAGAAGAGGAAGGGACAACTGCTTTCATAGTATGGCAAATTACTGAGCCTCTGGCACTGGAGAAGAGTTTTCCTCCCACAAACTTCTTATCTGCCTACCCCTTTAAAGCTAAATCTCCATTAGGCTGTACAGCGCTTGTCTATCTACTGATGCTCTTTCTCTCCTGTAGTGTACATTCACCTTGAGAGAGGTAGGAGTCAGAGCATGGCAGGATGATTTATACATGAGGTAACTTCAGAGCATCCAACATCAGTGATGCTAAGTTAAGTGGATGTAGATGTGATCCACGCTTTCCATTAGTTGTTTATGATGTTCATTCAGCTTTTCACGTCAGTGAACTTGCACTGAAATGCGATCTCTGTTGATATCATGCAACAAGCTGTTCTTAAATTCCACCATGGTCTTGTCGAAAAGTGACCTGCCTTAGGAGGTGTGGGTGTCTTTTTGCTGAGAAATAACTGAATAATGCTGTTAATTCTGACTGCTGATAGAAAACAACATTTTTGAAAACCGGCTCTGATAGGAGGCTAATTAGGCATGTCTTACAAAGAAATAGAAAATGCAATGTAATGATCCAACATGTTTCAGTGCACCTGTGGAAAAGCCTCATATCCTGATGTAACTAGTTACAAGCTTTTCATTTACCTTTTGATTGACATTTTCACTGCATTTTCTTTGCAGTTTGCTGCTTCGTTGTACACAAGCGGTGCCATGAATTTGTTACTTTCTCCTGCCCGGGTGCTGATAAAGGTCCTGCTTCTGATGTAAGTAAATTGAGCAGCTGATCTCCTGTTTATGGGTTTGCAATGTGAAGTCATGGGGGGGGGGAGACACTGGTGAGCCAGATTGGCAGTAAAAATTTCAACCTCTGCTTGAAATGTTAATCCTGGGGGCAGATCTTGAATGCAAATTGCCCCTCAATAAATATTCTGTTTTGTCTCTTGTATGCGCAACAAAGCTTTTGAGAAGAGATTCCGCTGACTCTTTTGGCTGATGATTGTTTAGCCAGCGAAAATGTTGCCCTTTCACATGACCCTCGAATTTCAGCACTATTACAGTCATGTGAACTGTTTGTATATTTTTGAGGTTTTATAATAAAGACCTTCAGATAGGTGGTCACTTGTTGCCGGTTGAGAGAAAACCACCTCAGTGTCACAAAAGAAGTGCTGAGGCTTGAGCAGAGGGTTGGGAACCTGAGCTGTCATCCCATCTGCCTCTGGTACCTTGACTAAGTTACTGCCTCAGTTTCCCCATCTGCAAAATGTTCATATTTAAGATACCTCCTGCACTGGCTAACCTGTAGTTCCAAGGGTTAATTAACCCTTGCCAAACACTTCTAAATGCTAAAATAGCTCTTCGAATCCTGCTATAGAAGACCTCACAGACTGTTCTGTTGTCCCTAGTGATACTTCTTAAACATCTACCCTAGCTGAAATAGCTGATCATTTCATCTTTTGTCACACTGATGAACTGTCAGAGGATGAGTTGTAGTTTTTAAAAATCTGTCTTTAGTGGGTGGCTAATCTACAGGGTTTCCTCTGAGCCCTAAAGAATCTATTGATCCCGACCCCTCTTCATCATCTTGATTATCATGCCACAATCCAGTCACTATTAAAAGTGCTAGCCCTATCCACTACTCCAATATTTGATGAGCATTCACCTCTGTTACAATTTAGACTCTCTTGGTCATTAATATACAAAGTCATCCCTGCTTATCTTAATGCCATGGGTGTTTACCAGAAAAAAATATATATTTTTTCAAGAATCTCAATCACAATATTAGCCCTCAGATTTAATTACATTTATGCATATGTTTGTCAAACCCTCTCCTGCCCCCAGAAAAAAAACATTTAAATCAATTTCACACCTCCCTTTTGCTTTGCATGGTCAGCCTTGCACCAATCACTGTAACTTTCCCAGGAAGGAATGACATGAAGTTGAGAAGGCAACAATATCCAGTATAATTACTTACTGAAAAATAATAAACCAATTATAGTGTGAAAATCTGCCACTTTTAAAGACAGTTGTTCTGAGAAACCATAGTGGTGGCTTAATGAATGATTTACATTTTTCTTGGTGAATCCTGATGTCTACAAGGAAGACGGGCAGTGTGAGGCCCAGCCAGGCATGGAGCAGTCATGTAAGATTCCCTGCAATGATTTTGCCAATGCACTTCAGGCCTGGCTGGAAGGTCTAACTTTTTTACCATGGAAACTGATTAATTTCAGCAACTGCTACAAGAAAAGAGATTGAATTGGAGACACTACAATGACGAGACTGCTAGTTAAAAATAGAAACAGTGGGCGCTGGAGGCTAAAGTTTAACCAAATGTGGTGGCTAAATATACATTCTGTTGCCACTACAATCTGAAGTGGGGAATAACTAGATTGCATGCAGCGATTTATAAAGGGTGCCTTTCTGCATCATGTCATGGGGCTCTGGCCCTTCCCGTGAAGGGCTCTGTCGCTGCATCTAACAGAGGCATGTGCACACATCCCAGAGCACCTTGGCCCCTTTACAAATGGAGCTGTAGTGGCAGGTCACATGCTGGCTCCTAGTCATGTGTCCTGCAGGAAACTGTGTATATAAAGCTCCCCTGCTTCTTAATCATGGGAGAAGACAGGAGAGACCCAGGGTCAGGAAAGGAGGTGGAATGGGGCTAGAGTGACCATATGTCCCGATTTTATAGGGACATCCCGATTTTGGGGGGGCTTTTTCCTATATAGGCTTCTATTACCCCCCCACCCCCATCCCGATTTTTTACACTTGCTGTCTTGTCACCCTAAATGGGGCTGTCTACACCAGTCAGGAGCTGGCTGGGAGGAGCCTTGGCTGGGAAGGGCTGAGAAGTGCTGGAGAAAGGGTTAAGAGCCTGATGCTGTCTGGACATCAGAGGGAGAGTGGCTCTCACATTGGACCCTGCTACACTGTCTATGGATTTGCTCCCCAATATGTGGCTACTCCAGATGTGACGACAAAGGCAAGTTTACCTCTCAGTCCTGCACATAACCAGGAGGAAGGGTTGCCTGCGCCTTCTGCAGCCAGCCCAGGGACCGAGGATGTAGGACAACGGGACACAACCCTGTTGTGGAGAGAGCCCCTCTATAGCTGAGTGGAGGATTTTCACGGCCCATTCAGTCCTGAAAATGCCAGTAGGGGACGTGTGAGTTCTGTGGTAGGGGTGTGACAGACAGCTGCCCTCTTGGCTGACACAGGCACCTGAACCAGGGACCGCCAGACCTAGACGCACGAGCTGCCACAGTTAGAGCTCCGGAGCCAAGGTTCTGTAGCTGGGGACTGCCCTGCATGCACACGCACATCTAAATTTAAGAATATTTCTTGATACGCAGGCCACTGAACAATTCGTCACTGCCAGCGTGGCCAGTGACTTAGAGGTGAAAGGCCCATCCCATTCCTGATCCCCTCACACCTTCCCAGCCCATCGCTTACACTGATGCTAAATAACGTGAGCCTTATTTTTAGCTACAGACTCATTCCCTTTCTGCTAATTCCTCTGCACCGGTCTGGGAGCGTGCCCTGTGCTATGCATTCCCGTGCATACGGGCAGGGTCGTGCCCTTCATCTGCTTTTTCGGCAGGGTCACCCGTTGTTTGGAAATGAGGCTTCTCAGGTTAACTTCTGGGTGACTCCTGAGCAAGTCTCTCAGTTCAGCCTGTATTTCCCTTCTAACTTGCTAACAGGGATCCTCTCTCATACTCCAGAATGGAGCAGGGGAACTAGCTCAAAAGGTTTTTTTCAGGTACATCTATCAGGCTGCATGGACAGAAGAGACTTAAGCTTGATGAGCTTGTTGCCAGCTTGGTGAGAGCTGCTTTTTCTTTGACACAGCAAATGAAAGAAAAATGCCAAGCAGCCGTGTTGTGTCATAGTCTGCTGGAAGGAGCTGGAGAGTGTTTGGGCTTTGACTGTTGGGTTTGGCAGGAACAGGGCGGACGGTCCCCTTGCTGTGTAGATGTGATCGTACTGCATTCCCCTCTCACCAATCAGTGCCCGGATATCAAGTTCTTTTTAATATTGCCATGTGAAACTAACCAACAGTCCCTGGCTGGGTTCGACTGAGTGCACTGAGAATATTTATTTGTTGTGCTAACTCCTCCGCGCTGTCAGTAGCACACTTCAGGGTATTGTGTAACACAGAAGTGTACTTGACCCCGGTCCTTCAGTTTCAAAGAAGGCCCTTGGTGGAGTATGTTTGGTTTTAATGACTTGGTTGGTGAATAAGAAGGATGGCGTTGGAGAGGCGAATGCAGCTTTCACATGTTCAGCAGATCCGGTGTCCTGCCGAAGGGCTGAAGGCTACAAATGGTCTGGTTAGGCTCTTCCTGTATCTGGCCCTGGGTTAGCTGGTGTCAGTACCTGCCAGTTACATGCCCCCCACTGAACAGTACAGGCCCCATGGCTGTAAGGGCTAAAGGAGGAGCCTGGCAGAACTGAGGTTTTGGGGCCTCCACACAGTGGACGATTAAGTGTAAATACATTAAAACATTAACTTTTTAAAAAATGTTGACATAGCAGTGCTTCGAGTGTTGCTTCCTATAGCATGCAGCTCCGTGGGGACTGCTTTATCCCTGGGCCAGCTGGCAACTCCGCTATTCTCCTGGTCACTTTTTCCCCCTGTGTTTAGCAGATGCTGTTCCATGGACAGTGCACTGGTGCTTGGGAGTACGTGGATAAATACTGTCAGATCGTGTGTACGCGGAGTGCAATACCGGTATTCGAATGCTGGGAACACCACGCTGGCAAAGCACTCCAGTGTGCACTCTGCACTGATTGAGTAAAACCTCCCCTAGGAGTGAAACAAACTGCACCGGGAAAAGTGCAACTTTGCTTTTATAGCGGTGTCTACGCGATGGGTTTCTGCTGACACGTCCATGCTGGCTGGAGACCACACCTTACCGCCCCCCTGACTGGCAGAGCTGTGCCAACAGAAGGCTGTAGAGTGGAACTGGCCTTATACCTAACTTTGCAGTTGAGTTGTAGATAAACCTTCTATCCAGTGTGCTAGGTTTTGTTTGGGAGAGCTTCGCAAGGTGCCTAGTGTTGCTTTCTTTCAGAACGGGAGGCTGTTTTTCTGGCCCATGCGGACTTCAGTTTTGTGGGTGTGTATTTTGAAGAAAGAGGCACATTTTGTTTCCTCTGGGTAGTGCAGGGGTGACTCGATCACAGTCCAGACTACCTACGTAGGGGACAAATATTTGATAATGGGCTTCAGTCTAGCAGATCAAGGTCTACAAGAGCCAATGGTTGGAAGCTGAAGTTAGACAAATTCAGAATGGAAATAAGGCATAAATCTTAACTGGGAGGGTAGCGAACACTTGAAACAGTTTACCAAGGAACGGGGTGGGTAGAAAAATTGCTGGTGATGGAGAATTGAGGTTGGATGTTTTTCTAAAAGATCTGCTCTAGTGTAAACAGGAATTATTTGGGGGCAGTTCTCTGGCCTGTGCTAGTCAGGAAGTCAGACAAGAGCACAATGGTCCCCTCTGGCCTTGGAATCTAGGAATCCACAGCACAACCTGTCTAATAGCCAGAGTGCCTAGGGAAAAACCTCATTTGTCAGACTATTGCTGTCTTGGTTGGAAGCTTTCTTCTATATGGGAGAAACTCACTAATGACTGTCACTTTGCTAATTACTGAATGTTATGAATTAGTAAGTGGAGGGAGAAGGGAAATACAATGAGCAAACCAGCGCCAAACAGGCTAATGGTTTGCAAAATGCTGTTAATGTAGATAATTAGTCTAG